TTTAAAAGGACCATGGATTGTTTGTAAACAACAATATTTTGAATTTTTGATGAAAAAATGTGTTTATTAACTTTGAATTTAATTATTTATAAGTAGAGAATAAAATTATTTGTGTATATATTAATAATTAGGGTTCAAGAGTTGACTATTTAGCCGATAGATATTTACACGCACATGATCACTATATCGATAAAGGTTTGAACGCGTTTGAGTCAAGGACGTTTTGTGAAGATCTCAAAGACGATGATATGTGGAGATGATTGCATATTCGACATTAGAAGATCGTGTTCATAGTTTATTCCTGTTAGTGATTTGATTTACAGCTGTATGACGTCATAATCACGATTACAATTTCACACAAATATCTAATATATATATTTTAATGATTATATTATCTATATATTAGTTTACACTGTGGACACCCGATGCATGTACATGTATATTAGCAGTACTACATGTGATATATTCCCCTATGGAAGATTGTTACAGTAAAGAGACACATGTGTTTTGTAATAAAGCTTCGATAGTAAAAAAAAAAGCAGAATTCTGCTTATACAAATTTTACAAGACAAATTATTGATTTAGAGAACGAATTTTGATTTTTATGAACTAAAAATAATTTTGTGAAATAAATGTCAAAAATTGCCAATAAATGAAGTAGTAGGAAAACTATGGATTAGGGATTAAGACATCTTCATATTGGACTGTTCGGCCTTCCATAGTAATTTAATGATGAAATAACGTTCTGTAGGCAACACTACCGACAGTCTTATGGTATTCAATATAATGCTTTATAATGAATGAATGTTTGCTCGATTGCTGGTTGTATTGGACGGGACAACAAAGGGTGCTATGACTACATTATGGTGAATATCTAGTCCTAGGATTAAGGTTGGTGATATCTTCCAACTAAATTGCTACATCATTTTTTGTTGATTCGGTGGACAATAATAGTATGTAGATATTCTAAGATGAAATGAATGGAGTTTTACGTCCTACTTTTCTGCACCATATGGGCTAATGAAGACGGGCAACGCCATGTAGGGTGCGATGAGGGAAATTTTGCCAGGCATTAGCCTGCTCTTTTTCGATTTCCAACTGTCGAGGGATCTATAACGCGCACAGCCTGTAGCACACGGGGCTTCGGTTTATTGATCCATCCGAACGACTAGACGCTTTTTCCATGTCAGCCCCTCACACTTGCATCACTGACAGGGGGAAACCGGGTTGAAAAATCCGAAGGTATTATCTCGATTGGATTGAATCCTGGACCTTCAGGTTAGCGAGCAAGCGTCTAACTCACTGAGCCACCACGGCTCCTAGGGTAAAAACTAGAGCAGTGTTTCCCAACTTCAAAAGACGCATAGTTGTTTAGCTGATAAAAAAAGAGAATGGGGTGGTCAGACATACCTTTCTCACGGCCGTACAAATTCATCCTGAACATTAATATTCACTAAAAATGAAAGTTTAACAATTAGAAAAGAAATTTCTGGTATTCAGCAGGTGTATTATGAAATTGTAATTATCGATTTTTTAAACTTTACATTAGTATTAGCTAATACATATATTGTATATACAGTCCAATTCCAGATCACGAACAAAGAGGTATGTTAGATACGTTAAAAATTCTGGAAAATGATTATGAAAACTTTGTCTTAATACTTGGGAAGAGACTTGAACAATGTTTTAGATATTGAGTTAGAATAGAAAAGATGGGAATTACAAAGAAAAACTTAAAGGTAAACAAGAAATTCAATATAAAACTTTGCAGTCAGATATGCTCCTTGGCTCACGCCTTGTTGAGCACTCTATCTGGAGTGTCAATTGTCGTTAGCGTGTATACGTAGCTCACTAGTTTGCTAGTTTGAGCACTCTGGCATGCTACGATGATAACACATCATGCGGGATCATCTGAGACGGCTATAGCCAAACCCGGTGTCTTGAATCCTCCGCCGAAGGCAGACCCCCTCCGCCATCCCGCCAGGTCATTTGATTTGATATTCGCCAATTGAAAAACACATTTTTTCTGATGCAAACTGCAATAAAAAGTTGGAATGTTTTTATAACGTATGACGAAACGAAACAATAAATATATCATGTTCTTTTTCAACATCGAATGTGTAGCAAACCCACTGTGGCGAGTTTGAACGTTAATTAAAGTAACCATGCTGTAGCATTAATTAACTGCGATACAAAAAATATCAGTAAAATTCTTTCAAATAGGCTAAAACCTTACTTAGGTGATCTAATTCATCCTTATCAATCCGCTTTCATACCTGGTCGATACACACAGGATAATGTTCGAATATAAGATGATAGCTTTGAACTTGCTCGTGTTCGACTGAAAATTTCTTTTTTTATTATTAGCAATAGATTTCCAAAAAGCTTTTGATAGTGTTCACCATGAAGTTCTGTTGCATGTTCTACACATATTTAGTTTCGGACAAAATTTCGTTTACAATTTAATATCATGATATAATGTTGTTAACAACGGATTCATTACCAAAAGCTTTCGAATTTCCAGAGGTGTAAGACAGAGGGACCCAATGTCATCTATTTTATTCAATCTAGTTATGGACATTTTTTTAGAATGGTGTTATTTACGAATATGGTTTTTGTTTTTTTTCCCCCCAAAAATGTGTGTCAGACACTTGATGAGAGGCTTGTGACTATGAAACCTCCACAAAGTTGCCACATCCTGAATTAAGCCTCGATAGTTGCCGCCAAGATTGCAAGAATACAGGCTTTGGTACAGACAGATGGAGGACACACAAAATATTAAAGTTTCACAGATCAAATTCTCCTTTGAATCTAAATTTTTTTAGATCGGCTTGCGCTTACCGATGAATACATTTTGGTCTGTTTTTTCCTTATTCATCAACATATTATGAACGTTAGCTCCACATCTTATGGGGGTACAGGGGAAAACCTAGATAAATGTTTTGTACACCTAGTGTGCACATAAACAAGTTTGAAAATATCATAACAAAATAATGCATCAACAAATACACTCTGTATGTGCAACACCATGACGGACAAGAAAATTAATACTTATTAATACTCCTATTTCAAGTCTAATAAGACTCCCACATGCTAAGTTGACATAAAGGAATAAAACACCAAAGGATTAAGCAATATGCATCAATAATTCTGTTGTAATTCGTCTACATATAATATTATAATACAAAACAACCTATTTATTTCTGGATTCTAGTGCGTAATAAATAAATTTAGAAACAGCTAGAGCCAAACTGTAATTTAGCGGATCAAAAAGAACATGAATTGACACAGGAATATTTAAATGTGAAATGGTAGAAGTGATATATTTTTCCCTTTAAAGGGTATTGTATTTAGGACAGATCAGGAGGAAATGGTATTCATCTTCAACCAAGGATTAATCACATTGTTGGCAGATGCGTTTATCAACAGGAATTTGTCTGTACCGAACTCTCTCAATTTCTAATTGATGTGTACTTAGTCTCAATGAGGTCAATGCGGTTTTGTAATTGGGATTTTTGATATGCTTTAGATAGTGAGTTGGAGTAGAAATAAAGGGTTTGACAGAACCGTATGTTCCCAATTTATTGTGGGGGCTGTTGATAAATCATGATAAATTAAGGAATGAAAAGAATTTTGCAATGAGAGCTTAATTTGTTTGGGTGAGAAATTTCTGGGGTCAATGTTAAAGTTATTAAGGAGGGTGAAGACAGCATTTATCCAAGAAAATTTTGGTTGACTTGAAACCAAGTTCAAATCCCCATTAAAAGCTACAATTAATAAGGGGTTATTTTGGAGAGTGGAGTTATCAAGAAATCTTTTGAAATACATAATCATTCTGTGTTAAATATCTAATTGTAAGGGAAATATTGATAATTCTGATAGACATCCAATGTTTGAGGCCTTTTTAGGTATACTCAGTATGGACTTCGCTGTACGTACAGTGATTGTATTGTGATCTAATTTGTCCCAGTTGTTAAACATGATCTTTTTACTAAGGGCGAACTATTTTTTTTATGAAAAAAAGAAATATGCTTTTTATACCTCAAAATATCTATAGGAATTAACACGAACACAATTATATGGATAACAATTACTTTAATAAATAACTTGCGACGTTTCGACGATGATTCTTTCGTCTTTATCAAGCAATGATGAAAGAATCATCGTCGAAACGTCGCAAGTTATTTATTAAAGTAATTGTTAAGCAATGATGAAAGAATCATCGTCGAAACGTCGCAAGTTATTTATTAAAGTAATTGTAATCCATATAATTGTGTTCGTGTTAATATCATCAATTACTAAATGCCACTCAAGGAAGTTATCTATCGGAATGCACAAAATAAATACTATTAGTCAAAAAACTTTCTTGTGGAGAACCCACTCCGACGTCCTGCGCCTTCAGTGTACCCTGGAGGGTGACGTCGCCGCTGCTGCAGAAAAGTATTTTGCCAATTAATTCAATTTTACATGTGACACCATTTATCATGTAAGCCTATCAACGTGTTCAATATAAGCTTTGAATCATTTTTTTTTTAGAATGATTCATATATTGAGAAAATACCGGCAGTCAACCATTGAATTCTAATGACTTCATTGATGGAATAGATCACAACTAATCGACCGCATCTCTGAAAATGTTCGCACACAGAATAAAATCTGGCCCAGCTGATCACATATATAGTCAGCTATATACCTATGTGACACGTTTTCATGTGTATCAGCATTGTTTTGATCTGTAATGCAGGCTAAGGGAATTGATTTAATTGGTATTATGCACGCTTAACCAGTACAGAACAACTCTTACATCTTTAGGCACTTGGATATGTAAAACTGGTAGCCGTGAGATTGGAATTAACATTATAGTGGAACTTAAGATACTATACTTTATTTAACATTTAGCCTAATAGATGGTACATACAAATCTACGTCAAAATCCAAATTAATTCCAATGTTGAAAGTAAGTTTGATTTTTATTTTATATTCTTACTGTATTCTAACAGTATTATGCATATTTTTACTGTATTCTAACAACAGTCTGTATATTCTTACTATATTCTAACAGCAGTCTGTATATTCTTACTGTATTCTAACAACATTCTATATATTCTTACTATATTCTAACAGCAGTCTGTGTATTCTTACTGTATTCTAACAACATTCTACATATTCTTACTGTATTCTAACAACATTCTACATATTCTTACTGTATTCTAACAACAGTCTGTATATTCTTACTGTATTCTAACAACAGTCTGTATATTCTTACTATATTCTAACAGCAGTCTGTATATTCTTACTGTATTCTAACAACATTCTACATATTCATACTGTATTCTAACAACAGTCTGTATATTCTTACTATATTCTAACAACAGTCTGTATATTCTTACTATATTCTAACAACAGTCTGTATATTCTTACTGTATTCTAACAACATTCTATATATTCTTACTGTATTCTAACAACAGTCTGTATACTCTTACTGTATTCTAACAACAGTCTGTATATTCTTACTATATTCTAACAACATTGTGCATATTCTTACTGTATTCTTACAACAGTCTGTATATTCTTACTATATTCAAACAACAATCTACATATTCTTACTGTATTCTAACAGTATTATGCATATTTTTACTGTATTCTAACAACAGTCTGTATATTCTTACTATATTCTAACAACATTGAGCATATTCTTACTGTATTCTAACATCATTCTGTATATTCGTACTATATTCTAACAACAGTCTGTATATTCTTACTGTATTCTAACAACATTCTATATATTCTTACTGTATTCTAACATCATTCTATATATTCTTACTGTATTCTAACAACTTTTTTACAGTCTGTATATTCTTACTGTATTCTAACAACATTCTATATATTCTTACTGTATTCTAACAACATTCTATATATTCTTACTGTATTCTAACAACATTCTATATATTCTTACTGTATTCTAACAACAGTCTGTATATTCTTACTGCATTCAAACAACATTCTGTATATTCTTACTGCACTCTAACAACATTCTTTATTCTTACTATATTCTAACATTTCATTCCATGGGAAAAAGTTCGAACATATTGAAAGCTCCCCAAAAAGACCTATACACCCCTCATTCCATCAATTCCCCCACCCACCACAAAAAGACCTATACACCCTACATTCCCAAAAAAAAGAGCTATTCACCCTATATTTCATCATTAAATTAACTCATTTAAAAACAGGATGAGTTTAATTTCAAAACACGTACAACACAAATTCGAAGATTATTCAGGCGACGGTATCTTTTCATCAATATTTTCTCTAGGTTCAAAAATAATTCCAAAAGTAGGCAGATATATTTAAAACAATAAATCTCTCATTTCCTCAGAAGCTAAAGCTATAGGATCTGTCGCGGAAGCGGGAAAGAGTATAAGCGACGCAGTGAAAAAATCTGACGAGTTGAAAGAATTACAACTAATAAGAGAACTGCGAAACAGGAGATTAGAAGAAAAGAAAGGAAAAGGTTTTAAAGATATAGGATAAAAATGATAGTCGCACACACTCCAAAACTTATTTTGGTTCAGATATGCAAAAAACATTGGGCTCTCTTCCTGGTTTTCGATGGGCAAAATATCCCAGAGAAGAACATTTTCCGGGCCATAATTACACTGGTCCAGGTACTAGGCTGGATCTACGATTAGACCAAAACGATAAACCCAAACCAGGTGAAGAACCAGTCAATAGAGTTGATGCTGCTGCACTTAAACATGATATTTTATACAGAAAAAAAGACATAAAGTTCAGACACGAAGCAGACAAACAAATGATAATCGAACTTGAAAATATTCCAAATCCAACTTTCAAAGAGAAAATGCAAAGGGCTCTAATCATAAAACTGTTAAAAGCAAAGATGAAATTGGGTACGGGATTGGCAGATGAAATTCATAAAGAATTTAGAAAAACTAAAAAGTTTTAAAAATGAATAATTTTGAAAATGAAATAAATAATTTAAATATTAAACCCAAATTTAAAGTTGAAGATCGCGTTCGTATTTTCAAATATAAAAATAAATTCGAAAAAGGTTATGTTGGATACTGGACAAACGAAATATTCATCATTGATAAAGTAAATAGTACATCACCTCCGACATATGAATTAATCGATCAAGACAAAGAACAAATCATAGGTAGGTTTTATCAAAACGAACTTCAAAAAACTGACTTTTAAAAATGATTATCTTTCTCGATAAATATGGAACTGATACAACCACAAACTTTCAACTTATGAGATGGGAAAATGAGTTAAATATATCACCGTTTTTATTATTGTATGAGAAATGAAATAAATGATCTCAAATATAAGAAAGGTAAATTTTATGCTATAACAAATATACATACTTCCGATCAAAAAGGAGTTCATCATTGTGCTTTATACAAAGACTTTTCAAATAACTTATACTTTTTTTTCTTTTGGATTAGAACAAACTGAAGGGATAGTGAAGTTAACTAATAAACCAATCAAATGTTCAACATTTTAAATTCGATTACCAGGACAAAAGTTTTGTGGACAGCTTTCATTTTGGGTTTTATATCAGTTGAGTTTAGGAAAACAGTTTGAAGAAATCATAATAAATTAAACTTAATAAAAATGGCGAACAAGTTTGGATTAGGTTCTTTACCTTTAGATACTAAAAAGCCTAACACTACAGCATGGATAAATAAAGCAAAACCTTACTTTGTGGATCAAATCGGAGACACTCTGCAAGGTGAATTAGATATGAACAATTTCGAAATAGCTAATTTAAAATCTCCACAAAATGATAATCACGCTGGAAATATTTACGGGATAAAATAAATTCAATTGAAGTGAATAAAAACCATTTAGAAGATAAAATAAGTAATGTTAAAGGATTCTTCAAACGTCAACTAAATAATAATTTTTTTTAATGATACTAAAAACTACAACAGGAGGTAGCAGGTTTAATAAGTTTTATTCAAAAACAATTGGTCAATGTAGTGAACAAAACTCAGTTACAAAATTTAATTTCATTAATATCTAAATTAGGTGAGGAAATTGCAAAACAAAAATTAGATATTCAACAATTAATAGATAACATTCCAGGTGAAAATGAGATACATTTCAACAGGAATTAAATGATCTGGAAACTAAACTAAATACAAAACATTGATAATAGCGAAATCAAAACTTAAATTAAACAACAAATACAAAACATTGATGATAACGAAATCAAAACCTATATTCAACAATAAATACAAAATATTGAGAAACAAAATATGTAGAAACTAAAGAATTAGAAATTAACGACGAAAACAACAAGCTTGATCACTTGAAATAAAACGAGTGGAAAATATATAGAAAGGGTTAGAATGTTAATCATACAAGATAAAGAAGATATTTTTATTGGATTGAGTGATTTTGATATGATATTGGAAACGGAAAGTCCACCATCAGCAAGTATTATTAGCAATGCAGAATCAGAAAAAGAAGAAGGGCATATGAATTAAGAGTTTTTACGAGCAACAGACTTTGGATATGTAAAACTATATTTTCTTCATAATAGTTTTTCACACGAATATACCTCTTTAACTGATTTATTTAATAAATCAGTTGAAGAGTTTACCTCAATCGATATTCATAAAAGTCAACAAGATAAACAATTTGTAATATTTTCATCAATAATTGAACGTAAGGATAGAATAGAAGTTATTGTAGTTGTACGATAAAAATCAATATTAAAAAACCAAAATTTTCGCTTCATCTAAATAAGATTAATGATTCAAAAGAACAAATATCGTTAGTAACTGTAGAAGTTTTTATTTTTAAACCTGAAATAATTATAACAGATAAGGAAAAAATACTGCCTTGTGGACATCTTATTGGGAATCCTATTTTAAATATTAAACAATTTCCAACTTTTGCTTTATCAGAAATTCATTTAATTTAATTACCTTAAAAATGGAAAGCAGTTGACAACAATACATGATAGAAAAACAAAATGAACTAAAAGAAAACTAAAACACTTCAACAAATACAGAAAAACATGGAGTAGAATTGATTCTGTTTTCAAAACATTAAGCACAATTCTAACAGTAACTAGTGGATTAATGCTTCCAATAATTGTCCCAACTATTTTAGCCGCATTCACCGCTGTTCAAACATCATCTTGTGGATTGATAACATTAGGTTATACATCAAAACAGAAATCTCATTATAAAAAGAAAACAGAAATTTTAATTTCATAGCTTAATATATTATTTATAATTTTTGAAAGATTAAGAGAAGATAAGAACATAACCATTAAAGAAATAGAAGAAGTCAATGAAATTTTAGAAAATCAAATAGAAAAGGAGTTATGACAACAGTTAAAATCAGTGAATTCAATAAGAAATTTAATACTTATCTTCCAATTCATATGCCCCAAAATAAACATTTTCACCCAAAGAATTTACTGAGGAATTAGATTGGGTATTTTACTTACATAAATCACATTTCTGTCTTATAAAAAGAAATAACAAAACCTTAGGCATTAACGAAATAGAAGATAATTACGATGAAACTGTATGGAGAACTTGTAGAGATGATAACGCAGTAACACAAGTTTCACCTCTAAAACTAAATCATTTTCCAACAATTCATGATGATTGTTTATATGCATGGGATTGTGAAACTTATTGCGAAAAAGAAATAAAACAATTCCTTATTCTTGCACGTTAATTAATTTAGAAAAACTAAGAAATAAAACATAACTTTCCAGATTTAAATCCCACTGATAGTGTTCCAGAAGAATTTTATAATAAATTAATGAATATAGTAGATATATTTGTGGATAAAGATTGTATTGATCAAATGTTGCAACGTTTAGGAAAAAGTAGATCAAAAAAGATTAACATTAATTTCTCAAAACCAAAACACAATGTCCACTATTAAGAGCTGGAAGCATTCTATCTCTACCTTTAACTAATTCATTCACCGACGAATATTTACAGAAAAAATGGAAAAGACAAAAACAAATAATTGGCAATTCTAATTATCTGCAAAATATTAATTTCATATGTTCCTATCAACATGAAAAATCTAGTTTGGCGACATGGGGAAATTCATCTAATCTACCAATGAATTTGAGAAAGAAAACTGATATCAATATTGCAAAATACACCGAAGATAATTAGGAATCTTGCAGACATGCATGGGAACCTTATGCTAAAAGAGATACGTTATGTCTTGGAGCGTGTTTGATAAAATATAACAAATTTATGAAAGAAGTTGTATTCCAGAATATTTCCAATAATCTAACGGCTCCTTCTTTATCTTCTGTTCAGATGTTTTAACACTGGTTGATATTCAAGAAAAAGTTAAAGCTGGTGGACGAATCATTAGAATATTAGATGGTATAGTATATGAAGAAAATTTTAAAACTCCACCATATAGAGATTATATTTTAATTTTGAGAGATCTAAGAAATAAATATAAACGAGAAGGTAATCTTGTGGGTAGTAATTGAAATTATTAGGTAATTCCTTGTATAGTAAATATTCAGAAGGATATAACTACATCGAGACATCTATGGAGTGAAGCAACTTTAAATGCCGTGTGATTGGATTTCGGAGAGGGGAGGGTTTGATTCTCCCAAATGTACAGGCCTAGGGTGGAGCAGACACTTAATTTAGAAATTAGGATTAAGGGTCTTGATATTGGGTTTTCTTCTGTTCTTATTCTGATCTGTACAAAGTGTACAAATGTCTCTTACTGTATTCTAACGATATTCTATATATTCTTACTGTATTCTAACAACAGTCTGTATATTCTTACTGTATTCTAACAACAGTCTGTATATTCTTACTGTATTCTAACAACATTCTATATATTCTTATTGCATTGTGACATGAAAAGACAGAGCAAGCCCTGTCATGCTTTTAACTTTAAACAGTATTTGTTTTGTATATTTTGTATATTATAGGTTAATGTGAAAAATGTTTTTACTATATCTATTCTTGGAGCAATCCTGTTATATGTGTGTTTCTTCGTCAGATTCTATAAATCAATGACGTCCTTTGGGATGTATATTCCATTCTATGCCAGCAACAAAACATTCTTTGGAATCTTTGCAACCCAACAAAATATATCTGAATATCACAAATATTTGAAAATGTGGTTCAATGAACATGTAACGAGTCCAGCGACGATTTCAGACACGGACGAAAATGGGCAGCTATGTTCAGTGTCACCTATAGGTTTAGGTAAGTGATGGAAAATTTCAAATGAATGTGGCCATATAAAACTATATAAATGATTTTATAGAATACATTATACAGTATGATATAATACAGTTTTGTGACTTTTGTCTAAATTTACTTAAAGTATAAACAGGGCGCAAATTAATGAAAACGACACATCAAAATTTAAAGATATGTTCCCCTTAACTTATCTTAAGTTTTAATTTTTAACGCAAAAACTATTATGTTTTAATTGCAGCTGGTGTGATAGTGTTTAGACCTTTTAAAGAAAATATGAATACTTTAGAGGAAAGACTGTATACATCTGATATGGCACCTGGTGGTCATTTTACACCAACGGACTGTAAAGCCACGCAAAAGTTGGCTATAATTATTCCTTACAGGGATAGGCAAAAACATTTACTGAATTTTTTAAACCATTTTATACCGGTTTTAAAACGGCAGAAATTAGAATTTACAATTTACGTCATAGAACAGGTAATTTACATGGCTGGGTTAGTTGGTTGGTTGGTAGATGATAGGTTAACGTTCGTTTCCAGCGGATGCTGATATCGTAGTCTAGTTGTTGGTAGATGACAAGTTAGCGTTCGATTTCAGCGGATGGTAGTTGTTGGTAGATGACAAGTTAGCGTTTGCTTCCAGCGTAAGCTGATTTCGTAACTAGGTAGTTGTTGGTAGTCGTAGTAGTTGGTAGTTGGATTGGTTCAAATTGGATGATTCTGTGTTGTTAGTTTGGTTGTTGATTCTTCGTTAGATCTGGTTGTTTCGAATGACATGGCGGTGAAACTCGGCCCTGGATGGTGTGTCGTGAGTAACTCGACTGGTTTAATGAATTATTATCAACTAAAGTATCAACACATTAAGTATAGCAATGCCTTTAAATAAGCAAGCTGTTGAAAATATTTTCGCTCAAATTCAAAGAAATTATACACCAAAATGTCGATTAATGTGTCTTTTAATAACTTATCAGAAAAATTTAACTTAAGTACATATATTTCCGTTAAGTTTTGAATGCCAAAAACAAAGCTTTTAACGTCGCTAGGTTAGGAAAACTACCATAAGGATTTTGGCAAAATAAACGCCAAATTATAGAGCCTCGTATCCCAACCATGGGATTTTTTTTTTTTTTTTTTTTTTTTTTTTTTTGGTGTGGTCAACTCGTGTAGGAGAAGAGTTGAGAGAGCACCTCACATCGTCACATGCTAAAAATGTGGATGAAACAAATTGGGTGTGAAAGGTCCATGTGGCTGCTCCAGGGGTGTGAAGACTGAGAAAGGTTGGGAACCACTGTTATAGAGCAAAATGTATGTCTATTCTATACTGAAGGTTTTAACAAAATTATCGAACTTTTGCTTTCGTTCAAATGCAGAATAACAGGAAATCGAATTTGAAAATGAAAAAAGCTATGAAGAGCTGAAATTGGGCTTCACCAACTGGCCAGGAAAATTTTTAATGGACGACTTTATACGCCTTTAATGAGTCACTGTTATTTACAGGGCGATAACGAGACGTTTAATAGAGGATTACTTCTAAATGTTGGATTTACAGAAGCATTAAAACAAGATAGCTATGATTGTTTTATATTGCACGACGTGGATACATATCTATTAAATGATAAAAATATTTATCGATGTGGCGACAAGCCTTTACATTTAGCAGTTGCAGTTGAAAAATATGGTTTTAGGTATGTGTTCGGTATTTGAAGATCTAGTTAGATAATTTCTTATAAGCATCTTCTATTCCATCTTACAGGTTTGCCATCTGTTTGACCAATCGTACCTTAGTCTCAGAAACGAGAATTTTTTAGCGACTCGTTTTTTCTTGAGACTCTGAATACAGAAAAGATATATAAAACAATTGCTATTCATTACTACGAGAGTTGACTGAAAACTTCTAATTTGGATATGGAATTAGTCGGTCACCGTGTTTCTAGTAATGATGACCGCCGACAGTACGCTGAATGTATGCTTCTAAGAAATCTCAAAACAACTGTTAACTGTTTTATTATTTAAGGCTACCGTACACTACTTATTATGGTGCTATCACTGCCTTCAATAGAAAACATTATGAAATGATTAATGGTTTTCCCAATGTTTACTTTGGATGGGGAGGGGAAGACGACGATCAAGGAATAAGGTATGGCTTTTGTGAACGTTATTTGTGCTACTGAGCTGTGATTTTTTATAGCCTGACCGAAAAATATTACATGATGTGAATGGAGTTTTACGTCCTAATTTTTTGCATCATGTCGGCTTATGAAGACGAGCAACGCCATGCAGGGTACAAAGAGGTAATGTTGCCAGGACAGCGGCATTAGCCTGCTCTGTTGTGATTTCCGTGCGCAGCCTGTAGCACATGGGGCCAATATTTATTCATTGACAAATCATGTCATCTTTATTAATAGGCTACATACTAAAGGTCTCAATTTTGTACGAAGGTCGCCCCAAATAGCAAGATATGCTTCAGCTAAACATAACAGAGATCCAACAAACCCTGATGGCAAAGATAGGTTAGTATTCTAAAATGAAAATTTTAATGAAAATGAGACTGGGGGTACAAATAGGGGGCAGACTGACTCTTTGGGAGGGGGGGATTGTCGACGCTGATTTCAAAATGCAGTAACTCTGTGGACGCTTTTTTGTCGCAAGCCTCTCATGGGGCGTCTGAGAAGGATATCCTAAGAAAATTTCGAAAGATTTAATTGATTTTGTGCATTCTGACACATGTTTTGGGGCAAAAACGTCTAAAAATCATATTTTTTGATTTGTTAAAGATGAAGTTGGGGTAAATTTAAGGGTGCAAACCATTTTTCTAGGAGGTCAATTGCCCCCTCTGCTCCCCACTGGTGCGCCACTGATGAAAAGACAATGCAACTCGAAGTAGTAAAATCCGAACTGAGGCTTACTTGCCATTTTCACTTTCGCTTTTCATTGGGCTAAAGAAAATCAGAAAGTACTTTCAAAACCAATCGTCTATCAAGTCCCTTTCTATTACAAACTTAGTCTTAAATTGGCAGAAAAGGCATCTTTCTTGAATCACGGAAGTTTTCTGAATGAAATGACTTGAGTGGATTGTATGTTATCGAAAACAGCTAATCAGAGTCATCCGTAAATAATAAGCCATAATGTTTACAGTTGGCCTGTCAAGGGCTATAATTAACTATATTCTTCTGGCGTATCCTATCCAATGGCTGCATTCTGTGAAATTGCAGACAGTCAATTTCATAATATCTTGACATTGTAAAGAATATCAAACCCTGGACCACCATCTGTTACATGAGCAGTTGTCAGATGTCGTGGATATACTATGCTATTGAAAGCGTTGGATCAATTGGTCAGCTGGTTTTTCAATTTGTATCATAGATTTGGTTTATTGAGGTCGGCTGCAAAAAGAATGGCCTACGATGGTTTGAATAGTTTAATCTATAATGTTACAAGTATCGAATTAAAGAAATTATACACTCTCATTACCATAACCGTAGACCGAAATTTATTAGAAAAGGTTAGTATCGTTATATTTGTCCTTGCTTTAAATCAAAACCCAAAACACTAGACCGTTGGTTGGTAGATAACAGGTCGACGTCTGGTTCCAATAGGGACCTATACCGTAGACTAGGTAGTTGTTGGTAGATGACAAGCTGACATCCGACTCCAGAAATAGCTGATATCGTAGACTAGGTGGTTGTTGGTAGATGACAAGTTGACATCCGACTCCAGAAATAGCTGATATCATGGACTAGGTGGTTGTTGGTAGATGACAAGTTGACATCCGACTCCAGAAATAGCTGATATCGTAGACAAGGTGGTTGTTGGTTATATCAAGCATTTTGTATAGCATCGTTGGAATGGGCTAACCAAGAAACATGTACTATAAATAATAAAAAAGAATACAAAGCATACAGATTTATTTAGGGGTGGCCTTCTTGGTTTAAATTATCTTTAGACGTCGAATGCTGTTTTTAGTATGTGCAGTGGCGCGTCCTCCATCCCATTTCAAATTTCACATCATAAGATTATAAAATGGTTCTATTATATTCTATTGCATTACATTACACTGTTCGAATCCGACATACACTGAGAAAGTGACCTAGATAAGATTCTACGGTGAATTTCAGTATAAAGCAATAATAAAATACACTTCGGTTATATACGTTATTATTATTCAATTGCTCATACTCTAAGCTATTATTTTCTGTACATTCATTTTTTCGCTGACATTACGTTAAACATATTGTATGCCTCAAGTTTCTGTCTCACGAGTCTCATAATACGAAAGATGATATTAAACTTTAGCATGATTTTATAAAAAAAAATCAAGTTATATCAGTTTCGGTATTCGGTATAATAATCTGTGAAGGAAACTTCAATCGCTCCCCTCTCTCTATAGTATATTTACAAAGGAAGACGTGCAACTTCAATTCAACCAGTTATATACCACGGTTAAGCGCCTCCCACACGTATACATATTGCACAGATCAAAGGAAATTAAACGACGTCATGATATAACGTTTTGAATGGAGCGTTTCACTGTAAACTAACATGACCTCAACAACCAGCTATGTCTGTATCACAAAATGGTAGCGTTCAATAGTACCCCGAGATGAGGAAGGTGTTCAGCTTCACGACTAGAACGGTGGAAGTATTTTTCTTTTTCCCATTTCTTTTTTCAAATTTTCTTTTTCAGAATTTAAAAGAAAAACGTATCATACCGTAATGTAAGAATGGACGTATTGGATTGAAAATGGATGGGAATTGAACATAGAGAACATCATTAGTATGTTTAAATGCATGACTTCCAATATAGAATGAAAGGGATAAGCATTTATAAACATTAACTTCCAATATAGAATGAAAGTGATAAGTATTTATAAACATTAACTTACAATATAGAATGAAAGGGATAAGCATTTATAAACATTAACTTCCAATATAGAATGAAAGTAATAAGCATTTATAAACATTAACTTCCAATATAGAATGAAAGTGATAAGTATTTATAAACATTAACTTCCAATATAGAATGAAAGGGATAAGTATTTATAAACATTAACTTCCAATATAGAATGAAAGTAATAAGTATTTATAAACATTAACTTACAATATAGAATGAAAGTAATAAGTATTTATAAACATTAACTTCCAATATAGAATGAAAGTGATAAGTATTTATAAACATTAACTTCCAATATAGAATGAAAGTAATAAGTATTTATAAACATTAACTTACAATATAGAATGAAAGGGATAAGCATTTATAAACATTAACTTCCAATATAGAATGAAAGTAATAAGCATTTATAAACATTAACTTCCAATATAGAATGAAAGTGATAAGTATTTATAAACATTAACTTCCAATATAGAATGAAAGGGATAAGTATTTATAAACATCAACTTCCAATATAGAATGAAAGTGCCAAGTATTTATAAACATTAACTTCCAATATAGAATGAAAGTAATAAGCATTTATAAACATTAACTTACAATATAGAATGAAAGTAATAAGTATTTATAAACATTAACTTACAATATAGAATGAAAGGGATAAGCATTTATAAACATTAACTTCCAATATAGAATGAAAGTGCCAAGTATTTATAAACATTAACTTCCAATATAGAATGAAAGGGATAAGTATTTATAAACATTAACTTCCAATATAGAATGAAAGTAATAAGCATTTATAAACATTAACTTACAATATAGAATGAAAGTGATAAACATTTACAAACATTTAATTTCCAATATATAATTAAAGTGATAAGCATTTATAAACATTTAACTTCCAATATAGAATGAAAGTGATAAGCATTTATAAACATTAACTTCCAATATAGAATGAAAGTGCCAAGTATTTATAAACATTAACTTCCAATAAAGAATGAAAGTGCTAAGTATTTATAAACATTAACTTCCAATATAGAATGAAAGTGCTAAGTATTTATAAACATTAACTTACAATATAGAATGAAAGTAATAAGTATTTATAAACATTAACTTCCAATATAGAATGAAAGTAATAAGTATTTATAAACATTTAACTTCCAATATAGAATGAAAGTGATAAGTATTTATAAACATTTAACTTCCAATATAGAATGAAAGTGATAAACATTTATAAACATTAACTTCCCATATATAATGAAAGTAATAAGTATTTATAAACATTTA